TTAAAACAGTGGCTCTATTCTCTATCTAGACGTGGAAGTGATCAGAGGTCGAGAGGTCACACGGATGCATAGGTGTTGTACAAAATAAATTAACACGGGACAGACATCTGACTGGAGTGAATTTAAACAGTTAGCTTTCCGAATTTTAAGTTTAAAATACATTAGTTAATAGATTGTTAGATATTAATTCACGAAAGTTTACAAACAGTGTACAAACCGATAGAAGTATGAACAACCCTTTCACGTTCAAGGGCAATAACGTATGTCCCGGTCATTTCTTCTTGGTTAAATTATTTGATATTCATTCCCGATATCAATTTTTGCTGATGATGGGTTCTGAGGAGACGGAATAGGGGAATAGGGTCACTCGAGTCAACATATGCCGGTTCATCATGGCTCAATTGTTGTTACAGGTATAAGAATAAAATTAGTTTTTCTCTACGAAACTCGAGGATAGAGCAGAAAATTTGAATTTGTCTAATGTCGTATATAATATTTGGTCAGTAATTGTTCATTCAAATACATTGGTCAAACCAAACAGAATAACAAATAGAATTTATGGTTATGTTTCTGATTGCGGTAACAAGTCAAGAAATGGCATATCAAAACATTCACTAACAATGAGGCATCAACTTAACTTTACTAAATTACTCAGACGAAGAATAAAAGGGGTTCTACGTAATACAATGTAAAACAATAATTATAAAATACAGTCAGATACTATGGGTTTAAGTTCAATCTATGAAGGTCTTATCAATGTTAAAAAGAAACGGTTGTTATCATGAGAGAAGTACATACGGGGTAAGGTGGCAATACCATAAGATCATTTATAATCCTTGGCCACTCCTTCACAATGTTAGGACTGATTCGGTCTTCAAAGAAATTCGAAATTATTAAAAAAGTTAATTATTTCAATGCGAAAAATATGTAATATTATTTTGTAAGATTTATATAGTTATATTGTTTATTGAATAAACTGTTCAAATATATATTCATCACGTGTAATTAATACGTGGCCTGATGAGGACTACAAAATAGGTCGAAATGTGAGGTGATTAGTGACCGTTAGTCTAAGATTAATCGGAAATCGTGAGATGCGGTCTGGTGCGATGTAGGTTTCAGAAGAACATTTTCTTTATCGTGCCAACGTTTCGATCTTTAATGAGATCATCTTCAGGGCTCAAAGTGTTTGTCTTCTGTGTAATTTAAACAAACAAAAATAGGAATTATACCTTTTAAGGATCAATTCTATTTTGAATTCGATAAGAAAAAATACTATTCCTTTTTACCACATTATAACTTCCTTATAAATAATATCAAAAATTTGAACGCTATAATAATTAATAATAAAGACTTAAATACGAATGAAAATTATGATAAAGATCCGCATAAACTAATAGCCCATTTTCAAAAAAAAATATCCGAACGTCTTAACTACAGAATTAGGCAGAACCACAATAACGAATTTGTCTGTAAATTTAAACAATGTTTGTAAAAAATAAAAAATGCAAAAATAAAATATATATATATTTTACATTATATAAATTCACTTTTTTCCACATCCTACATCTATTTGTTAAATTTAAACAATGGTTATAAATCCCTGGCCCTGAAGATGATCTCAATAAAGATCGAAACGTTGCACGATAAAGAAGACGTTTTTTCTGAAACCTACGTCACACCAGACCTCATCTCACGATTTCCGAATAATCATAGGTCGAAAGCTTGGCCATAACAATTGAATATGTTCTTTCATGAAGACCATAGGTTGATCCAGATTATTCGTGAAAATCTTTGGAAATCATCGAAGTTGGATATGTTAATAAAACAACGGAATCTTTATTATTTATTAGCTGTTTTTTTAAGAGGTCCCATATTGTGAATATTGTTTAGTACTTCTTACTAAGAAAAAAATAATAATTATAAAAATTAAGGAGATATGGCTTTATTATACCACTTGATATATACCCGAGTCCTTTAAATAGCGACGGATAAGGAAAGGATATTTGCACCGTGACATCGGTATAATCCTGAAACTTCACTCGGTGGCATAAGAGCTGCCGTGACATGTCCCAGGTCGTGAATATTGATTAGTGCTTCTCATTAAAAAAAAGAATTAATCATTATAAAAGTTTAGGACATATGGTTTTATTATATCCCTCAAAATAAACGAAAGTCCCCTGATGATGACCTTAAAATAGGTCGAAAGATTGGCAGTAACAATTGAATTCGTTCTTTCATCAAGATGAAGATGGGTTGATCCAGATTATTCGTGAAAAGTTTTAGAAATCATCTAAGTTGGATATGTTGACAAGAAAACGAAATCTTTATTTATTGTTTTAAGGTCACTTTGGTTGTATTTCATTAGCTGTTGTTTTAAGAGGTCCCATATTGTGAATATTGTTTAGTGCTTCTCACTAAGAAAAAAAAAAATTAAAATCAAGGACATATGGCTTTATTATACTACTTAAAATATACCCAAGTCTTTTAAATAGCGACGGATAAGGAAAGGATATTTGCACCGTGACATCGGTATAATCCTGAAACTTCACTCGGTGGCATAAGAGCTGCCGATAATGGTATTGCCCTCCCCCGCGTGCTAATTTCCAGCGGTCCAGCGGCCGAAGATAGGGCCGGCCCATTATTGTTGTTTATGCCGCATTATACCCCATACGGTCCAAATCCCGTGGGCAAACTTTCTATATAAGGTATTATATAATAAGGCAAACAAAGTATAAATCTGGCCCCGGCCGCTATTACGTTGTTATAGAATACAAACAAAAACGTTCCATTGTACAGTCTAATCCTATATCGAGCCACGTATTAATTAACACGAAGATTTATTTCATTACATCTTTCTTGTTACGTGATTTGATCTGGTAGGTAAATCACAGTTCTATAAGCATGGATTTGTTCCGATAACTTAATTAAATGAACTTGTAGTCTGATCGTCTGTCATCACCAAGATTATATATTATCGCTGGTTTTGCCTGTCAGATGCATTTCTGCGTCAACTATTATAACAACGATAATTTTGAGATCATTAGATGCAGTCTGGTGTGATGTAGGTTTTAGAAAAACATTTTCTTTACTGTGCCAACGTTTCGATCTTTATCGAGATCTTCTTCAGGGCCTGGATTTTATAAACTTTTACTTTGGTTAAACCTAAAATTTTTATATGTGTACATCATTGTATAAATTCATTTTCACATCTTACGTATATTTGTATAATTTAAACAATGTTTATAAATCCCAGGCCCTGAAGAAGATCTCAATAAAGATCGAAACGTTGGCACAGTAAAGAAAATGGTTTTCTAAAGCCTACATCACACCAGACCCCATCTTACGATCTCTAAATAATCTTTAATTAACAGTCACTAAACACCACACATATTATAACACTTCTCGTTCTAAGTAAAAAAAAAAAATTACAATAACTATATCTCTCTAAATAATGATTTGTTATTAGCCCGTTGTCCTGGAAATATCTCCACTGAGGTGTGGTCCAAGTGTAGTAATTTTTCTCGGCTCTCGAAGAAAATACGAAAGAAAACCGTCTCCCTTTCTATTCTGCAACCCTCTGTGCACCGCTTTGTCTGAATGACTGGTGAAAAATCTACTTTTTCTAAACTTGGCAAAGGACGCTAACAGAATAACTATTATACCGTAGATATTTTTTATTTTTCTTGTCTTGGCAATCGTTCTTACCTTTCAGAATATAATAATATTAATAATGGAGATTGTTGAAGAGTGGAAGATATAGATAGTTCAGTCTTGCCAACAGTTTGACCTAATGTTAATTTAAATGGGCACAACAGCGAAAATATATTACCAAAAGTTAATAATAATTTATTAATAAATGTCTGATGTATTATTGGATATTGATGTCACAGATTTTCAAATATACATTTTCATATACATTTCACTTTCTTTATTTTTATGGAAGATTGTTCATTTAGTGTTCTTTCTCAGAAAATCAGAAAGTGACACACGCAACATGCAATCAAATGATTTGACCGGCACCAGTACATTTATTTAATATTGTTATTATGTTCTCAAATTAACTTAAAAAAATAAAGTTAAAATACAGAGGTTTGACGATTTCACATATTCTTTTGGAACTTTGAATTTTTTACTTTCTCTCTCTCTTCTAAATAGATAGTATATACTACTATCTATAATTTAGTTTTATATTAGTTTTGTAACATATGTATATATAACAATTTGAAGAGTTTTTTTGGGCCAAACGGTTGTTTCAAACATAGAACAATAATTTTTGACATTTTGAGGATTATTTCCGTCCTGCATGAGAATGAATGTTCGAGAGTTTGGATTTTCGTTTCTAAAAAATCCGTTCAAAATGAAATATTTTTTGAAAAAATTACCCGCCCATGTTTTTCTTTATTACATATCTCTAATAAGGCGTTATTAACATAACATTTCTATAGTTCCTCTTATTGTACCCTAATTAATTTTATAAATTTGTCCATAATTATTTTCAGAAGAAAGACTATAATGCATGGTTGTTACAAGAATAAAAGTTTAGCTTTAAGTATAAATATTGTTATGTTTAACTTTAAAATAAAAATGGCTTAATTAAAAAAAGAATAAAATTTAGAATGGGAACTCCTAAATAGGACAAATGGATTGTACATTTTACAAATAATTTAGATGTATTTATATGTTTTTTTAAATCTTACTTATTTTACAACACTTTTTGTGGCCCTGCTCCTCCGCTTAGTAGTTGCCTGTGTAATATTTACAATTTACCTTTTTCTTATTATTTATTTTTTCTACTTCATGCACGATCTTAGTTAGAATAGTTGTTAGTTGGAATCTGCCACTCACCACTCAGCCCGACACCCAAGTTGTACACTCCCCGTCCATTTTGCCATGACCCTGCTTGCCCAGAAGCTGGAATTAAAGGTGAACCGTCGGCTGGGTGGTGAGCGGGGACGATGAGGGTGGGAGGTTCTCTGACTCGAGGGATGTTCTTTCAGCGCTCCAGGACATGAGAGCTTCCAGGTCGGACAGCCTGTCCCGAGGTACAGCTCTTCCAGCCACAACCCAACCACATAGCTCAAAATAGATTTTCCGTTTTTCTTTATTTTCTTTTTGTAGTTCATTCACTCTGTAAGGCTTTAGACAAACGCCAAATTGTATATAAAATGTTTGACACGCTTTCACTAGTGTTCATAGCCTTTGATTGTACACCCTTAATTTTATTTTCCTTCATTTTCTCCCTTTTTTATTAATAGGATATCTTCAACATATTTCTCATTTGCCTCTTAGATGTACAGTTAATTCATTAAATAGGCTAAATCATGGGCCTAGTAGAACATAAATAATAGTTGAACCACGTTTCAAACAAATGGAAAGCTGCAGCTAATTTAATCAGAAATTAACGATTTTGCAAATTATAATAACTGAAAAAATAATAAAATATAATAATATAAAATATTTAAAAAAAAATACTCATGTTTGTCGAGAAGGATTTTTCAATATTAACCAGAGGTCCTCGGTTCCAATCGGAGTGTTCACTTTAAGAATTTATTTAACCCCATCTACTGTTCGGTATGAACATGTATATGAAATCGTCGATTCTCTTCATTCTACATATTCAAATCAAATCAGTTTTGTCTGTGTTGGAATTCCTAGAAAAGTGAAGTGAACCTGTCAAGTAGAGGACCTGGGTTCAAATCTCAGTGTTGACCTTGTAAATTTCTGACCCCTTGTTTGCTATATGAAGTTGCAAATGCCATTTCTAGTTCCTTCTACCAATTTTAATCAAGACGGTTTTGTCTGTGTTAAAATTTATTTAAAAAGGAAAAAGAGACCCTATCACAAAAGGTCCTAGGATCAGATATCACCTTTGACTTTGAAAATTTCTGACCCTCTTTCTTTTATATACGAATAACTAAAAAATTGGTTCTATTTGTACAAAATTTTACACAATTTTTGTGTGCTTAACTTCATTAAAAATGAAACGGTGGCCCTGTCACATAGAGGTCCTGGGTTCGAATCTCAGCAAGTGCCTTGAAAATTTCAAACCTGGCTATTTTATATATGTACAAGAAAATATAGGTTTTGTACATAGAACAAGTTCAAATCATGACCATTTTGCCCGAGTTGTACATCATTGTATCCTAGTTACATACAAGCTCTGGGTCCAATGTCAGCATTGACTTTGAAAATTTCTGATCCCAATTTTTTTATATATGAACTTGTACTTGAAAATGTTGGTTCTGTTCATACTACTAATTGAAAACAAGACAATATATTTTGTGTTGAACTTATTGAAATATGACACAGCGATCCTGTCAATAAAGGTCCTGCATTGGTATTATTTCCTTGGCCCTGAAAACTCGGCCGTTCCTCTAGCAGTGTCTATTTTCCGTCCCTGTTTACTTAAATTCTTAATACTGCATTTTCTGATATTTTTAGCTCAAAGCTTAAAAAATTAAAAAAGTAAAAAACTTTTCAGGAACCCTAAACTTATTCAAATCATGCCTATTTTAATTTGGAATGTTGGTCAAAAAATCAACGATATATTAGAAAATAAAAAAAAAGATTTCAGTATAATGCAAATATTTTGTGGATCCGGGAAAAAGGCCAAAGCAGGTACCGGTAGAATTGGATAGCCCTGAGCGAAAACAGGGAATTAAAAATTTGTTCCGGTTAAAAAAATTGCCAATTTTGGATTTCCTTCCATTCTACGATGCAATAGATCATATTTATAATATTGTAGAATTGAATAAAATACGTTTATACTTACTTCAGTTAAATTTATTTAATAGGTTTTTGGCCTATTTGGTTTTACGTTTTGGTTATTTTTCAATTCTTATTCTATGCTCTGCTGTTTCTTCTTAGTTATAATTGTAAATTTATGAATTATATATTTTTCTTAATTATTGTTGGAGAATAAGGCTCTGAACCATTTTCCGTTTACCAATGACTATTTCGAACACATCTGAGGCAAATGAATGATGTATATTTCCAATAAGGTTTCAACTCCAATCCATCTCGACAGCGTTATGAATCGGCATAGAGTTGTGCGATATGATCCGTTTAAATGTGTTTGTCTAAAGTCTGTAATAATAGCAAATGTGTAAATATTAGATTTACCATGTAGTTTTATGCATAGAGTAGAGATTTGTAGATGGGTAAAGTTTAATAATAACAGTAGCTCAACTAAATAGAAAAATGAATAGAATAATGCGTCATGTGAGAGACGATATAGATTTTAAAATAGAAGCACGATTTAGTCTGGCATTTATTTGATACGATAAAAATATAGAAACTAAACAGAAGTCCATACATTTTGTCTTTTATTTTGTGTGTTTGCGTAAATTTTTATTGGAAGCGAACTATTCAAATTAAATTTAAAAAAAGAACTTTTAGAAACCCAGCGATTGTACCAAATCCTCGTCCCAATGGGATGTGTAGTTCGAAAAGCACTAATAACCCCGATTAACGTTCGGGCAGCGATTTGTTCTAGAAACGGGGAAAATTAATGAAAATTCCGGCCCCGGGCCGAAGTCACGGGCTGTGAAATTGCCAGCGGCCGGGAGCGGTTTCTAATATCTCAAACTTCCACCGGCCCGAATCACATAAATTACAAAATCTGTCCTTTTAATTAACAGACTTCTTTATGGGCTTGATTTCAGCTGGACGACGGGTCCGTCAAGTGCAAAAACCGATCTTCCACCAATAAATCCTTCCCAATCTAAGTCGGCACGGATTAGTAATTATTAAACTTTTGACAAATCAAAATTCACCAAAAAATTATTAACTTTCAACGATGACAAAATGTATCGTCTTTTGTTTGTAAAATTCGCAAAACTTTCTCCTCGAGAACTGCCTACTAGCACAAACTGGTTTTTGTTTGTCACAAATTTTATCCAAATAGTGTTTCATTATAAGCTTTATTTTTTTAATTGCCAAAAAATTGTACAATGTATACATTTTTTACATATTCATATATTTTTTTGTATGTAACAACTGTATCCACCAATATTTGTTGTCCAGTACATCCAAAATCTTGGGTTTTTCGGGAGCGCACTTCAACCTGAAAATTTTATACTTATAACATTATCCCTTGTTATATTTTTTTAAACAAGCATTCGAACACGTTTTAATAATATTTACCAATAGGGTTTTGTATTTATAAACTAGGCTTTCAAATTACTATGTTTGTACTTTGATAGAGACAGTTTAAATTCAACGAAAATGGTTATAAGTTTATAACCCTGTTACTTTTTAACCAGTAAAATTGGTTTGATATTTTTTATACTAGGTTATAAAAAATTAAACTATCTATCAACAGAATAACTACATTAAAAATTGTAATTTTTCGACTTTATCCTATTTTTTCTATTAATTATAGCACAACTTTTGTCTTGTACAATTTGCAAATTCTATTTTCTTTTTTTAGTATATTATTGTATTCTTTAAAAAAATTTAAATGTTAAATTACATTTTATAAAATAAAAATTAGTTTGGAACATGTAAGTGATTATTTTAAGTTTACCATTAATGGAGATTTTAAACAAGCCACAATAAACCAAAAATATTGCCATTTTTATTTAACTAGAAATATCAATTAACAGTAAAAATTAATTTTTATTAAACTTTTTTTAGCATAACACAAGTTTATGTTATTTCACTTGTTCTTTCTATATATGTTATTTATTTTCAAGCTTGTCTATAAGCTATTTTTTACACAAAGGAATCCTCTAGTTCTAACACTGCTACTCCAAATGTCCGCCTAATAGAGAAAACATTCTTCAATTTGCAAAACATTGTTCTAGTATTTTCTTATTCTGGCTATAACCACACCAAAGTAAACAGCTGATTAAGCTGCACTTTTATTGTGAATTTTAAGGTTTGAGAGGTGATGGATGCTTTATCGATCCCGTTTTTGCTTGTCGCCATCTTCAGTGTTATATTAACCAAAATTAGTACTAAAAGCAACTAGATATTAGAACTAACTGTCCTTGACTAGCTTTTTCAAATCGATCAGCTTATTTTTCAAATTACTCTTTGTACTCCCTGAATGTTGTATGTCTGCCTATACATATACCTTAATCAATCAGACCAGTTTTACGTTTTTGTCTCCGCTCCATCAGTTCGAACAATCGATACTTTACTGCATATCGATATATCGAGCTTAGCTTGAATGTACAGATCACAGTGTTAAAAACTTTTAATTTTTATATAAATCAAAGCAGGGTCCACAAAAAGTGAAAAAAGTCGATTTTTTTTCCAAGTAATTTTTTTACGTATGGCGTCGGCATTATTCAACTTGATTTAAACTCTGTACTAAATCACCAGTAACTAATGGTTGCATAATTTATACAAATAATTAACAATAAAGTAAATAAATTAATAACAATCATCAATTTACTCACTCAAAATAATCGATTTTTCGTCATTGCTAAATTTAAAAATAAGTTTTCTTTGTGGTGGCTACTACTGGTAGAGACATCAGCGGATCTTTTTGCTACCTTGCATTAGTACATATAATAAACGAGATAATTATTTATTATTCTCTTATCAAATACCCATGCAATATGTGCATTTTCAGGAAATATACTGGGAAAACAACTTACTTTAGTATCAAATAGTATTTTCATATATGTTCACCATTGGACAGTGGTAATTGTGTAACATTGTTTACTTATTCCTGAGCTATTATATTAAAATAAAACACAAATAATCTTGTCTTTAAACATGGTCTTTCTTGTCATGAATCATAACTCTTTCTAAGCTTAAAGGTAACAAAAAATATTTCCAATGTTTTTCTTTAACTAATTTACCACAATATATTTTTCACATGACCTTCTAATTAGGTTTTTTTATGTAATGGCAGTATCTATCTCCTTCAAGCTAAAATTTTAAACTTAATTCCACTCTTAAGTAATGATTAGTAAACGGATTTTTTTTCTAAGTTTGTAATGGCTTAGATGCTTGAGTATATATGATGTTGCCCAAGTCATAGACTCAAATAGTTTGAATTTACCTTTCATACAGTTAAATTCACCTTTAACTAAAATTTTCTTAATCTTTTTTAAGGCTTCATTGGTCATGGCTTTTAACAAGTTCGAATTTATAACTATCGACATATTTTATTACCTCACTATCATTGAACAGGTTTCTTTATCTAACTTTTTCTCTTTTTCTTAATCTTTTTATGATTTTTGTTTTGATTAGAGAATTTTCTACACTTTTTATCTATTGAACTTGAAGTTGAAAAGTATGTCGATAAAAATTAGGACAGTCCCGATTGGCGGTGGTTGGTTTTTTTTTTTAAATAAAACTCAAAACCCTATTAGTTTATATTGGAATATTAAATTTAAACAATTTTACTTTTAAAGGAGGGGTCGGTTGTTCGGGATCATTATAATGCACGCCTGTGCTCCGGTTTCCAGAGACCGGTCGATTTGGCTATTCGTGTAACGTTCCAGTTGAAAAACAAACTGTTTTTAATTACATTCAGTGGTAGACAATAAAATTTTAAATGTAAAAAAAATCAGGTTTTTAGCGCTTCCGAAAATTTTTCGTAGTTTACAAGATTTATTTCGTATAAAAAAAGAGAAAACTGTTTCGTCATTTGTGAATTCACAGGTTTTTGCTATTGAGTAATTTTATTTCATTATTAAACAATATGAAGAAAATTTGTAAAAAAATATTGTGTCTGTTTATTTTTATAGTTTAATTTTTATAAATGTAAATTTCAATGTTGGTAACGCCTAAATAACACTGAAATGGGTATGAATGCTTCCTCATTAATCCCTTCATCATATAAAGTTAGTTCACATTTTATGTTTTAAGCGTAACTAGATATCCATTTGTAAATCCATATCAGCCCTTTGGTGGTGGCATTAATTTAATGAGAAAACTATATTTTATTTAATTTGAAAAAGAAAAATATAAATGCAAAAACACTGATTTATACAAGAGAAAAAAATGTGTATAGCTATGGCCGCTTGAAAGTAGATATTGTGTAGTGAACCCGAAATAATTGTATATAGATTGTGTGTAGTGTGACTCAAATGTAGTAAGATGCATTTACATTGTTTGACTCTGTTTTATATTTACAGGGGATTCGGGTTCATTACTTTTGCCGACCCGTCCAGCGTAGACAAAGTACTGGCCCAAGGAACGCACGAGCTCGACGGCAAGAAGGTAGGTCGTTCTCAACTTTAACAATTCAGTAAATATTTCAGGACGGCTTTAACAAAAGGCACCAACGACGCCGTGCATAAGCCCGAACGGGCCACAAAACTCCACCTGTCTCGAGGTAATAGCCTATTTGAAAGGAAGCCAAGTCCGTACACATTTTACATGTCGGCATTGAAATTTAGTGTAATAATATCTGAAGCGGCTCTCAGGGCAATACAATGTATCTTTAACGTTAACGTCGTCGTAATATTCGAGTTTTACGCGATGAAATAAAACAGTGGGCCGTTTTACCGATTATAAACATGCATTATCGACGGCTTTACGGAGCCCAATATATAAAAATATTAACGTGTAGTTTAAAAATGTTATCTTCTCGTAAACAAACGCAGTTCTCATTTCTAGCGTCGTCAGGGAATTTCGACGGAGATAAGCTACACGTATAATGTTTTATAGCTAATACTGGATCAGCAAAAGTGTCATACTATCATTCTCCATCTTTCATAAACTTAGTCATTGTAAGGTAACCATAATAATGTACATTATAGACATGTTTTACACTTGAATTTTGTTTACCAACTACAATTTTAAATTTTCTTTTAAATTCCACATAAAACACCATACATATTTACAATTCCTTAGAATACCAATGTTCACACTTTACTTCTAACTTTACAATAGTTCAAAATTAGTCTGTCCTAATCTGCAAAAATATAACTTCTGTCTGTACAACTGTATTATTTTATGACTTTCCGTTTCCTAATTATTCCCGTCTATATAATCCTGAAAGGATAATCTGGCCGAACCATTACCAACTGTTTTTTCCCATCGTCGGCTCTTTTCACTCAAAGAAGCTGACTCCTTATACAAAAATGTCTTTTTGTACAGACTTACTTCCCCACCCCTACAAAATCCAACGATATAAACATAAAACAGCTATAACTCACTGGCCCTCTCAACACGACAAGAATGGCACAATTACGCAGAAAACCATCACTTTGAGTAGAAATACTTTGATTGAATATAAAAAAATATTTTTTTGCATTGTATAAATTTACTTTTTTCCACATCCTACATGTATTTGTTAAGTTTAAACAATGTTTGTAATTCCCAGGCCCTGAAGATGATCTCAGTAAAGTTTGAAACGTGGCACGATAAAGAGAATGTTTTTCTGGAACCTATGTCACACGAGACCGCATCTCACTATTTCCGAATAATCATTTATAATTTTTCTATATTATTTATATTTTATTACGTAAAAAACGTAAAATCAACGAAGAGTTAATCCATTTATTGTTTGTGATCCAAATTACCATATTAATAACTTCAATTAATTATTCTTTTTATGTAAGGTCTTGAGTGAAATGAAAAAAAAGATCTTCGGCTGGGTGGGTTGGAATCCTGCTCGTGACACTAACTTTTTCATCTCAACTAGGAACTTACATAAAAATAATAATTAATTAAAATAATTAATATTGTCAATTAGACCACTAAACATAAATGGATTAAATATAATAAGTAAAAGAAGTAATCACTTTACTAACAGCTCACCGTGGCCACTTCATTAGTCACTGAGAATCGAATCCTGATTATATTTGAAAAATGGCAGAAAGAGGGAAAATTCGAAACGTAGGCTGGGATCGGGAGTTGGTGTTGAAGTGGATCGAAATCGCGATAGCTCAAGTGGTTAGAGCAGCGGCCTATTCAGCCGAAGGTCCTGGGTTTGAATCCCGCTCATGACACTAACTTTTTCATCCCAACCAAGACCTTACATAGAAAGAATAATTAATCTGAATGTTTTAGTCTTTTTAAGCCCAGAGTTTCTGGGTTGAGCGTAGCTCAGAAAACCCTACAGATTTTATGAGTTTATATTTTTATTAACACATTTATTAAAACTGGTAAAATGAGTCCATCTTTAAATTTTACAATGACTAATTTAGAAATAAAAATAATAATAAGTACATTTTGGTCCATTAGTGTAACAATTTATCTTGTTGAGCTTCTTCAGGATGTATATGCAGAAGTATATATATATATATGGCTTAGTCCTCTTCAGTCGTCTACCGATGTAGTATGCGTAGTAGACAACTGGCCTCGGTGTTCGGTTGGCTTTGAAGACGAAGGTATAGACATACCGTGTGATATCCGAGTCGATGTGCGGGATGTCTACTACGCTTTTGCGAACATACCAAGGATCATCTAGCATATTTCGTAGAAATTCGTTTTGGAACCGTTGTATTCTGATAGCATTGCTTCATTTGGCACACTCCCAAGCTTATTAGCATACTTCAATATAAGTTTTAATATGTGATTTCAAATCATTAACTTGTTTTGTTGTTAGGCGAGAATTCCATTCCAGCAAACAGTAAGATTAATTGAAGTAATTTTAAATCAAGTTCTTTCCTTTTCTTTTTAAGTGTGCTTTCCAATTTAATGTTTTATCTATTTTCATGCTTAAATATTTTACTGAATTTCTGGGAAGGGACTGCTTTACCGTAGAACAAGGTCTACTAACTTTCTATTTGTGAAATTGTAAGGATTTGTGGTCATTAACTTTGACCGTCCATTCATGGATGCTGTTGACGGACATTTGAAGTCGGTTCGCGGATGCATAGATACATTTTTCGACTGAGAGACAACTGTGTAATCGAAAAATATTGCGACGGTTATGTTTTCAATCAGTGGTAGGTGATTTGTACACAGGATGTATAACGTAGAATACTATCCTGTGGTACGCCAGGGTTGATTTCAAACTCAGAATATTCGTCTTGCAGTTTACTTGGAACAGTCTTTCCGAAAGATATGTAGTCAAAAATAGTGGGAAAATTTATTCTAGTTTATGTAAGAATAAAGCTGGACATATAAATAATAAATAAAATAAATAAATTTGTGAAAACGAGATTTTACGTAAGTAACATACGTCACAATTTTTTTCCCCAGCCAAAATAAGTTATCTATTTATTCTACGTGAGTTATTTATTAAATCTTTTTCGATCTTGTATAGACGACTAGAAAACTGAAAAACTTACATTTATACTCGTTTTTCTCTTTGGCTGAACTGTTGATTTTTCCACAAGTCTCTCAGTGGGTTGAAAAAATAAACAAACAATATTATAGGTTTTTTAGGGGGGGGGGGCAATAGGGCAATTTGTAAGGAAGTTCTTTTTCTACTAGTGTGAATAATTTTCATGGTTAAAGTTGTGAAATTTGGTTTTTCCTGTTTTAATGTTGTTTTAGTTAGGATAAGCATATAATAAAATAGTTAAAGCAGTGTAGCTTTAATTTAAAAAAAAAAATCTTTATGTAAGGTTTTGGTTGAGATATAAAAGTCAGTGTCACGAGCAGGATTCGAACCCACGACCTTCGGCTAAATACGCCGCTGCTCTACCACTTGTCACGATAGTTCAATTTCGGTATAAAATATGCTTGGAATTAATTTTCAATCTGCGTGTAGATTCTGTTAAAACGTTGGAAACATTTTTCGGAACAAAAAGTGTATTTTTTAAAGTTAAACTAAGACTTTTAAATTTTTTTCTTGAAAGTTGCGAATCAAGTGTTGCACTGCATCCTGCCTTCGCCATCCCGTTATACAGGGTGAATTGCTACTCGTGCTACAAACTTCTCCAGTAGATTCTTCACCCTAAAATGAACAAAAAAGTTCATATTGTCCATGGTCCGNCTGAAATGGTTGAGAATCGGACCATGGACAATATGAACTTTTTTGTTCATTTTAGGGTGAAGAATCTACTGGAGAAGTTTGTAGCACGAGTAGCAATTCACCCTGTATATCTTATTATTTATTTTCGGTCTGAAGTGTTTTTTAAAAAATAAATTAGGAGACAACTTGAAAAATCCAACCTCGATCATAAAATATCGCTTCTCTTCTTTAAAGTTTTCCACCTTTTGATACGCATTTCTTCAAATGCCTTCATCATACTGAAACAATTCATTTTTCTTTTTATATAACACTGATAGATAAACAATTGCAGTGAACTGTTATTTACAAAAAATAACTAAGCAGCGGAAGTTTTTTTGTATAGAAAAGATCTATAATTTAGTCACAAATTTAAGATGTTAAAACTTATGATTCACTTTTTCGACAACCTAACTACAAATTTCTAGGATACACAGGAAATAAAACATAAAAAAATTAGTTATAAATAGACTAAATAGATTTTGAGCAGTTGGTATTGTAATAAAGGCATCTTTTCGGTATTTCTTTGGAAAAATAAATCATCTTGATCGACGTGTTTTCAGAGTTTTATGCTTAATCAGAAATCCACTACTTTTCGTGATCAGCTTGACCAATTAATATTTTTCAATTAATTGAGGTTTTTAGTTGAGGTAAAAAAGTCAGTTTCACGAGCGGTATTCGAACCCACGACCTTCGGCTAGATCGTTACTCTACCACTTGAGCTATCGTGACTTCGATCTGGACACTAACTTCCTATCTCGATCCCACCTTTTGAATTTTCCTTTCTTTTTGCCATCTTGCATTTTGATAGCTCAAGTTGTCAAGCAGCGGCGTATTTAGCCGAAGGTCGTGGGTTCGAATACCGCTTGTGACACTGATTTTTTTATCTCAACCAAAACCTTAAGTAAAGATTAATTAATTGAATGATGTTATTTGATCAATCGCACCACGAAATCTATTGAATTTAATTAAAAACTTGATTGTTGGTGGGAATTCACGAAATATTTTTTTTTTTCATTCTTCCGGAATTCCGATATTGGATTAGACAATAAGTTCAAATAACAATTGGTTACCGATGGCAAGTTGGGGAAGGTGTAATGATTGCCGGGCCGTTCTAACGTAGGAGGAAGAGCTGGCTCGGGGCCAGGTGGCCTCGGGCTCTGTATTTATGTTCTCAATTACCCGCCCTGTTACTCGAGTCTCTCCTGGAATTGCTTCCCAAATATGTTGCCCGGCGTCCAGGCCTGGGATTCGACACGCGCCCCTGAACGTACGAGGGGGAAAACAACGCGAAAGTCGGAAAACTGTACTC